CCCTTCTTAAGTTACTTCTGTGGGGTGTTTTAATCACAGCAGTTAAAAAAATAATTGGAGCCTAAATGAGTTAGTATATAGAAAGTTCTCAGAATAATACTGGTACAAAGTAAGGGACAGATAAATGTCAGTGATTAATATTACCATTCTCAGTTTTGTGGTAGGCTTGGTAGATATAATAGCAATGAAACATTGTCCCAGTTCTAAAAAAAATTTATAGTTTGGAAGGGAGTCTCAGTGATAACTACAGAAATAAATATGATTAAATATGTTTGGTATGATAATAGAATTTGAAAAGTATTTTGAGAATATAAATGACTAACTGCTTTAGCACGGAGAATCTATCCAAATTGAAAATAATCAGCCACCTAAATCACAGGGTTGTGGTTGATACACATGAGTCCTTTTCTTGCCACATGAAATTTGAAGCCCTCAGAGCTCAGGTTTGGGATTCTTCTCTATGCTGGCTCATTCCCAGTTGATCACATACATCCACATTCACAGTGCCCAGCTCTTGCACCTTAGCCCAACAGAGCTCATGAACTGTAAGTGCCTAGACATCTCACACAGACGACATCTAAATCCACACTCCTCATCTCTGCCCACCTCACACCAGCTTCAAGCCCCAGCACGTGTTGTTCCCGTCCTTTTCAAAAGGCTTGTACTGGGGCTGGGGAGATGGCTCGGTGGGTAAAGTACGTGCTGTGCATCTGTAAGAACCTGGCCTGGAATCTGCAGCACCCATGTGGAAGCCAAATGTGCCTGCGGTCCCCATGTCCCTACAAACAGGGGAAGTGGAGACCAGAAGTGCTCATGTCAGTCACGGGGAGCAAGAGACCCTACTGCAAACAAGGTAGAACGTGAGGATCACCACTCAAGGCTGCCCTCTGACCTCCATATGAGTGCCGTGGCTCACACACACACACACACACACACACACACACACACACACACACACAGTTAAAGTACAGCTGAGTAAGATGCCATGTTCTCAGAGCTAGTAAGCGCTAAGAGCCAGAGTCAGAGTTCTGACAACCCAGAAGAAAGTTGGTAAAGTTTACAGCACAGATGAATGAATGTCAACCATGCTCTAGGACTTCCTACCTTTATTGAAAACTTTTCTAGGCCGGGCGGTGGTGGCGCACGCCTTTAATCCCAGCACTCGGGAGGCAGAGCCAGGCGGATCTCTGTGAGTTCGAGGCCAGCCTGGGCTACCAAGTGAGTTCCAGGAAAGGCGCAAAGCTACACAAGAGAAACCCTGTCTCGAAAAACCAAAAAAAAAAAAAAAAAAAAAAAAAGAAAACTTTTCTTGCACCTTGCAGAAATGTCTTCCTTTTTTCTGAGACCATAAAACAAAGAGCAGTCCTAACTCCAATTCAACTCATGTTTCATTAATGTATGTTTTTCATCTGTCTTAGAAATGTATGATGAGCTGGAGAAGATGCCTCAGTCAGCCAAGGATTTGACTCTCAAGTGTGAGGGCCTGAGTTTAGATCCCAGAACAGCAGGGCATACCCGGATCCCAGTGACAGCAAGATTGGAGGTCAAGACAGTTGGATCCTTGGACATTCCCAGGACCAGCTAGCCTGGCCTGCATGGAAAAATTTCAGGCCAATGAAAGATGCCATCTCAAAGAAAAGGTGCAATTATCAGAGACTCAGCATTCAAGGTTGTCCTCTGACTTCTGTATGTGTGCTGTACACACTCACACCACATATGAACATACACACATGTACACACACACACACACACACACACACACACACACACACACACAGAAAGAACCTTTTTCTGAACAAGAAATCACTTAGGAACCACAGTCGACCTCACGGGCAGTCTGCTGTGTGTTCGTCCCCTCCTTGGCAGCTCTCTGCCCTCTTGCTCTTTAAGTTCCACTGCAAGGCCGATACTCCCTCCAAACTTCAGATCCTGCCTGCTCTCTCTCCACCCAGGATATGCCTTCTTTCATAAATTCTCAGCTTATTTTTATCACATAAACTACATTGTGCAACACTCAATATCTTTTCCATTCTCCTTTTTTCAAAAATAGGAACCAATTTGATTGGATGTGATAGCAGGAGAGGCAGAAATGTGGCAAAATTTTAAGTGGTGAGAAATCTGTCTCAGCTACCTGGGTTTTGAGAGGCAAATTGTGACTCCCCTTCTCACTCTGTATTGAACTGCCAAAGCTAGGTGAACCAAAAGTCTTCATTGACTTCTCTACCTGTCTGCTTGCCTCCAAGTAGATCTAGTATTCATTAATTTGTGTATTTTATGTTTGTTCTGGCTATTCAGATTAGTAACTGAAAGGTTTATATAAAGGTACATAAGTACAGATGGATACCCTTGAAATTGCAAACTTCTTGGATATTTTCTTTTAAGACAGGGTGCAGGCAGAGTTTCTCAGTGTCCTGAAAGCCAGTCCCAAAATAACCACACAGAGGCTTAATATTAATTATAAATGCTTGGCTGATAGCTCAGGCTTATTAACTAGCTCTTTCAACTTAAAATTCACCCATTACCATTAATCTATGTGCTGCCCTGAGGCCTGTGATCTTTACCTCTCCTGCCTGTACTGCTCCTTCCCAGCTTCCTCTGTGTCTGGCTGTCTGGTCTATACGTCCTGTCTAGCTACCAGATAGTCAGATTTTTATTAAACCAGTCTGAGTGGCAAATCCTCACAGTGTACAAAGGGATTGTTCTGCAGCAACAGGGTCCCACTGTGTAGTCCTTACTTGACTTGATAGATAAACTGCTCTGGCCTCAGACTCAGAGATCCACTTGACTGAGCATCCCAAGTGCTGGGATTAAAGGTGTACCCCTCAGATCTTAATGTAGCAGGCAGGCAAAGCTGAGAAACAAACCTGTACATTGATTGTCCCCTATTCTGTAGCACTTACCTGGATATAGACTGCAAGTTCCTGAGAATAGCAGACACGGGCCCGACCCATGACCGGGAACACAGTAGGTGCTTAACAAAGTACATACTTGATAAACATATGTTGAATCTGTCCATCTCTTCCATAGTTGGTTCATTAAGTTTTCTAGACACACACACACACACACAAAGTTCTGACCCCTTAGATGAAAAATGTGCTTGATTCACCTCTGTGTTTCCTAATAGATCAGGTCACAGGTGATCATTAAACAATCATCAAGTTGAGTTAACTGCCATTCCTTATCTTTTGCGCCCTCCTCTGGCCCTACCTTGTCCATTTGCCTCCCAAGCCAGAATCCCTCAAAGACTTTCACCATCCTAATCAAATATTGGAAAGCCAGATACCTTGAAGTCCTTCAAATCAAACTCAAAATTAAAATTTTAAATGTACTCTACTCATTTTGTAAGTAATTTTGTGACCAGCTAACTGCAATTCCAGGAGGAGGGCAAAAACAGAAGCTTAATGAGTCTGGTCAGACACACCATGTAACAGATGTCCAACGTGCCGCCATGAGCTTAAGTCATAAATATGATGTCTCTGTTTGGCAGGGCAAAATATATGAGAAGTGTTTTATCGGTCACTGGGCAACTTGCTAGATGGAGGGAGAACAGCCTGAGGAAGGCAGGAGCTTCGTCTAGCTGCATCTCCAAAGCAGCGTTGGAGAGGCACAGATAACCTGCTTGCAGTGATTCATCAAGTTGGTCCTTTGTTTCATTAATTTGAGTGTCAAGTGCAGCCATACAACAAAGAATTGCCGAGACCCGCTAAGACTCTCCTCCAGCTGCTGCTTTTCCTGCCCAGACAACGGGCACTATTCATGCCCTCAGCAAACTGAATGAACAGTTAACTGCATGGCTGGCATGCTGCACAGCACTTGGAGTTTTTGTGTTTTTCTTGAAAGGCTCCGTAGCATGTGTTTCTGTCTCCTGAATGTTCATTACTGAACCAATCATTTTAACTTTGTTAATAGAGTTTGGAAGTAGGCCTCTCAGGTTAAAAATAGTCCCTGTTGTATCATCTGTCCAGCGGTAGATTAGGGAAGATTAAAAAAGGGTTGCAATGCCTCTGCTGGCCCCGCAAAAGCTCTCACTGTGCCCATGGTCCAGGTGGTCTGCTGATCATCCCTGTCTTAATGTGATCTTTAGCCCCATACTGTTACAGATCCACTGTGAAGAGAGACACTGAGACCACTGTGTTCACGGAACAATTTCACAAGAAACATGTTTTCAGCTAAATTGGATGCTTAGCACATACTCTAATTGGATGTAGGGATGGGAATGCCTTAGAACAGGCCACCGATGTGAACTCGACACTGCAGGGTTTTCATTTTAATCCAAGTTCCGAATGTGAAATTGTGTACATCAGTGCATTACACAACACAGGTGAAACATCAGGTTCTTAGGATGCAAGATCTTTTTATCTCCAACAGCTAGCACTTCTTCACTGAAATTAGGAATACTCTGTATCCTGGTTAACCACATGGATGGGCTGCGCTGTTTCAAAAACTTTAAAATCATTTAAATGAGCACTGGGGACCTCAAAGGTTGAGTAGAAACATAAATTGTGTTCTTGGAAGCAAATGATGAATGAAGTCATTTACATGAAAGAGTGCGGTCCAAAGGAAGCGTGAGACTAACGATTTGTCAAAACAAAATTAGGGAGGAAAAGGACATTTGAAAACAACTAGAAATTGCAGTGACATGATTTTTCAGGAAAACAATTCCATGATAACATTTGCCAAACTGTAAACAGAAAATGCAAATAAATATAAATCTATTGACGTTTGGGAAGTTAACTTGTTTTTATTAAAATCACAAAACTGAAAATCTGGTTAGCAAATTTTCAGATGGCCACCGTGTTCAGGATCAAATTGGGTTCTGAGTCCTTTTAGCTTGATGGCTCCATAAAAAGATAACAAACCTCCGAACCAAGAAATGGGTACACCCTTGCGGTTAACTGTCTCGCCCCAGAAATTCCACTTCACTGAAAAAAGATGGTTTGGGGGCTGGGAGGGGGGACTGCAGAGGACTCTAGGACCCAGCAGGCGGCGGCAGGCGGCGGTGTGTGGATCGCTGAGAGACTCGGAGGGTCCGGCTCAGTTTTAATTCTCCTCTAATCTCTGCAACAGCAGCGCTTCCTGGGTCCCGCGGCTTCTGCTCCAGCTCAGCCGCCCGCCCGCCAGCCGCCAGGCGAGCATCCCAACCGCCTCCGCCCCATCACCCACCATGGACAGCCTCCAAGAAAAAGTGGCTCCGGACGCGCTTGCCTGAGAATTCCGCACAAAAGAGGCGCTCAAAATGAAGACCCTGGTGGTGAGTCTGTTGTTCCAACTCCGCCAGGCAGAGGCAAGGACCCCCGGGGCTCTGTGTCCGGGGAATGCCCATAGAAGCCTTCCCGGGTGCCCAGCCCTGTAGCAAGAGGTCACCTGTCATGGGTGACAACTTTCCACCTGGCTTGGAACCCGGGATGAGCACTGGAGATGCCTGAGCTCCTGGATCTTTATCGAGTAATCCAAGGGGCGACTGGAGAGCAGAAGAGCAGGCTGACCTCTCCGGAAAGGAGGGTGCCCCGCTGCGACTGCTGGGCACAAACTCAGAGGGGCGAGGGGCGAGGGGCGGGGAGGAGGGACCATCATCGACTTTCTTGGTTTCCTTGTCGGATTTCAAACTTAGCGGGGATCGCTGCGGGAAGCCCCAGGGACCCAGAAGAGATGGTGTGCAGAGGGTTGGGATCCCAGCAGCTTAGGTAGGGACCAGACCTTCCTCCCCAAAATGCCCTCAGTGGGCGCGCTCACCCTCACCGCGGGTCACTGCGCGCCACCTGCCCTCCACTGTGAGAGGCGGGCTGTGAGCAGCGACACAGGGACATCCCCGGCAGGTGTGCTGGACCATGTCACCTCTGCTCCCTGGCTGCGGGAGTCTGGGGCGGCTGCCCGGGACCTGCGAGTGGTGTCAATAGGAGCGGCTAGCTTCCCGGCTGCACGCTCAGTCGCTGTCTTTCTCCCTGTCTCCCTCTCGCCCGCCCGCCCGCCCGCCCGCAGCACCATGGTCTGGCAGTGTGTTTAGTGCTCACTACCATGTGCACCAGCTTGTTGCTCGTGTATAGCAGCCTCGGCAGCCAGAAGGAGCGGCCCCCGCAGCAGCAGCAGCAGCAGCAGCAGCAGCAACAGCAGTCGACTGCTGGCAGCGCGCAGCCAGTGGAGGAGAGCAGTCCCCAGCCACGTAGAGCCGCCCCCGCCGGACACCAGCAGTTGGATGGATACCTCGGCGTAACCGACCACAAGGTGACAGCTTGTGCGCCATCCTGCCCGCCGCAGCTCGGCCTGGGCACCCTGTACACCTGACCCTTCGTTCCTCTTTCCTGGGGCGGTGAGGCACGGGAGAAGGTGTTAGTTCGGAGGCTGGAAGGTAGTGTGCACTAGTTGGGGCAGGGAGGGCTGTGTACTAGCTATGAATTGCTATTCCGAGAAGGATGCAAAGTTCATCAGGGAATAGGAACGAGGTGAGTGGACCCCAAACACCAATGATCCTGGACTAGAATCCGGAGTCCTGGTGAAAGCAACTGCAGATGGATGTCCAGTTGCTGGAGCCTAGGGTTTTCCAGGCAAGCCCTGCGCGGGTGAGAGGAATCTGGAATGGTGCAGGGACCAGCCCCATGGTTCCTCCTACACCGCCTGAGGGGAGAAGAAAGAGCCCCCACAGCTCAGTCCACAGATTCCACTCTGATCTCTGCTGGGGACTGCTCTGGGCTGAAAGGCCCCAGCCCCTGGGGAGCCCAGTTCTGCCAGGCACAGAGGGCTGGAGGCATACTCCGCTCCCACTGGCTTGAAAGCCTGTTTTCCTTTGCCTTCCGGGAAGCTACTGCATGGCTTGGCTAATAATTAATAAGCTGGGGTTTTTCCCCTTTAAATTTGAGCCTCCTTTCCTTAGACTAATAAATCTCTGGTTTCAGTGCAGGAAGCCTCTGGGAGAAACCAAATCAAGTTTCCTGATTCCAAAAATATTTTAATACAGTTTAAATGTATCTGTGATTATTTGAAATTGCTAGTGTGTTTTTATTAAAAAAAAAAAAAAAACACTTCCATTCCATGCCTATAAGCCTAGAAGATGGCCTGAAATCTCTCAACTCTTTTTACTTGGTATTTTACTGCACTTTATGATCGTGAACCAAAGTAGTATTTGCATATGTTCCCTCTGTGTGAGAAGATTGCTCTTGTCACACATGAGTAAGTCAGACTTTAAGTGACAATCAAAATATTGCCACTCACCTGTGCTATGTAGAATGCTACAGAGGAGAAGAACCCAAAGGGATGCCATGCAAGACTCCGCTTGCCTGCCCCGAATGCCCTGGGAAAACAAGGCTATCCTGGGATGTGTGTAGCAAGATACACTGATAGACAACATTGTGCCTGTTACAAACGGTGCTGTGGGGTGCACCAAGGAGGGAGCTCACGTCCTCTGGAAGAAGCAAGGAATATTTCTTTGAAAATATGAAAGTTGTACTAGAGAGACTTGAGAGAAATGAACAGGAAGAGGCTGAGGAAGAGGCTGTTTGGGGTAGGCTTACAACTCCAGAGCGGAGGCTTAGCAATTACAGCTTCGGTTTGCCTTGGTTGTTGATTGATTACATGCTCCGTCTGCGTGTGCATGCTGCTGATAAGGGCTGTAGTGTGGGGATGTTTAGCCCCGGCTTCTGGCTGGGGATGGATGTGGCATTCTCGGGGGGGGG